ATAAAAAATAAAAAAATGTCTCTGATGATGACTATAGGGTGCTTATATGCCAAAGAGGGGCGCCTATGGTGCTAGGGGCGCTTGGGAAACGAGGAAGACATTTGTATAAGGGTTTTCAGGGGTCATGCGCCGTTTACGACAAACAGATTCTAAGAAAGAAAAAATCGGAGAGGGGAATAACTTTTAAAAATAGTGCGGACTTTCCGCGCTGTTTGCTTAAGCGGTTACGCCCCTGGCCCCTGGGTACATCTGCCCGATCTCAGAAGCTAGATTTGGAGGTCATACTTGAAAGCAGTACGATGAAAAAGTTGGAGGCCCCTGAAAATAGGAGGCCCCCTGGAAAATGAGGCCCCTCAACAGGGTGGCCCACCCACTTTTCATGACGTTCCTACGCCCGTGTATATGTTTAAGAAGTCTTAACCCGCGCCGGGCGGGGGGGGGGGGGTTTGAACACCTGTGTGGTGAACCACCTGCGGTTTTCGCAGATATCTAAAAAAACGGCGGCGCTTGGCACACCTGTTTGTGCATCTTTTCCGCACATGTGAAAATTTCAGACCCAGGTCGCCTAAGGTCAGGTGACCAGGTCACGCCAAGTGACCTCGTCCTCACCTCAGAAAAAAAAAATAATGCTCGTCATAGCTACACCGACTGAACGATTGCCTTGAAACTTTCAGCGATTGATAAGAGTAACATCATCTATAAAATGATATGGATGACCTAAGGTCAGGTCAATTGCTTGACCTCCCCTTTATAAGTCAATGAGGAAAAATCAACTGCCTGATTTTTGTTTCACTAAACGGCGTCGTAATGGCCTAATATACCATAAATGACTTCATATACGATCAACTTTTACAAACTTGAGGCCTCTTTTTGCTCTTGAACAACTGTAAGGTCATTTGGCGTCATCACAGGTCACAAAGGTTGTTTTGCCTATAACTCCTTACAGGAACGAGATACAGCCGCGCGGATGGTCTCATTGTGTTCAGCTCGTCAAGGCGCGTCGAATGGTATTAGGTACAGTCCACAGCAGAAGTAATGTGGGGTTTCAGTCATAGGTATATTCTGCTTCTGAAGCTTAGGAACGATTGGTAAGACTACAATAAAACTTTGAATGTAGCTTATATGTATCGTCACCCTTGCAGCTGCAACTTCAGCTATTGACATCTTCTTTTCGATCACTCCGCATTAAACAATCACCAGTCAAAGCCAACCGTTGAGATTGGTAAAACCCTACATTACTATAGCGGTGGGCTGTATGTACATGATAACCTCGAGGTCATGTGACCTAAGGTCAACCCTTTACCTTGACCTTTCGAGATCAAAATGCATAGTTATGTTTCGATGCGGATCGACGAGAGAATCACTATGATTCTAACCAGTGCGCAAAACGTTGTTAGTTCGTTCCTAGCTTGGCTACTTCGAAAATTATTCGAGAAAACATCTACAGGGTGATTTTTTTACTTGTTAAAAAGTAATTAGGTCTAGTGGCATTAAAACACAAATATATATTGGAAAATCATATACCAGGATGACAAGCATGCTGGGACATTTTGATTTCATGCAGACACGATGTGAAGGAACGTCCATCGTGTATTTTACTTGTGCTTGAAGTTGCCCCCTCTCTCACCAACACGACTCAGCCCGCCTGATCACGTGTCAAACAGCACCATGGACTCACATACTCATTAGGCGGACTGAAAAGGCTCCTATCACCCATTTTCAGCTCTGACAGATATTTCCAATGTTTTCTTGTTATATCTGCCATAGCTGGGTCCAAAAACTAGAAATCTATTAAGGGCAGGTCGAGGATTTCGATACTGGCGGCCCTGGTGGTGTCTGATTCGTTGTTTTCTTTCTCCCTGAAGACTGATTCTTCAGAGGCTGCACATAAGCCAGATGAACCGTTTGAAGGTTATTTATGACTACAAGCTTGTTCGTGCATTATTTAACGTCTTTCTGGGGTGTCTCCTTGATGATCGCATGCTTCGAACTGCCTCAATGCTTCAAAATCATCGTTTTGTGCCGTTCCTTACTGAACGGCGGTGGACCATGCGTGCCCGATTGGTGGGACATTTTCAGGCTCCATTGGGGCCGAGGCCTTCGGTTAAAGCTGGACACTCCCACCTTAACATTAGTTTTGAGTTGAGATAGCCAAATTGGTGGCCATGGCCTGCAAATACCGGTTTGGGCACTCACAACATCGAAAAATGCTTTAATTCGAAGATATGGAATTTCAAACTTGCAGTTTTCGGATTCTAAGGGGCTAATGCATTGGAATGCCCCCTTAGAATTTGTGACGTCAGCGGAGATCTAACGATTTTTAAATCTTAGACTAAAACCATCGTTAACACGTGGTGGTATACGCTGCTTTGCGCGCAACGTCTGCCGCACTTTAAGGCTGCCAAATTATTGCTTCCAAATAAAGTCGCTAGTAACAGGGGAGATCCCAAAAAGTAAACAAAAGTAAAAGCCTAATATCTTGAAAACCAGTGAATATTTTTCGGTGAAATGTGGCAGATATTCGTTTTCGCTCTTTCTGAACCAAGGGACATCACTTTCATGCCAATTCATTAACTTTTTTGAAGGTGGGAGGGTCCCTTTAAAAGGGACAAATCATGACACCATACAAAATGTCCCAGATTTATCTATCACGTGCATTGCTTTTTTGCACGCGATTTTTCGATTTAGGGACCACCATTGACATTTACTTTTTAATAGTTAAAAAAAATCACCCTGTACATCTCTAGCACCGCCATTTCGACTTTTTTACCCCTGTGACGTCATCTATGACCTGACCTGAAAATGACCTCATTAAAAATTGTAGACCTTGTCCGTACGTACCTCGTGCCGTTTACCGCTTCTCGCTATCTTGCTTTGTTCTGGAGATCTCAGGGGGCGGGTATCCGCCCCCCCCCCCGTCTGTTCTAAGTTGGCGCGGCCTGGTCGGTGCGCGGGATAAGTGGGGCATTCCACGATAGATCGTACCACTTTTTTCCAATTTGACACCCTCATCTCTCGGAATTTGACGAGAATTGGTCTCAGGGGTAATCAGGGGCTCTGAATCCACCTGTAACAATTTCAGGCTTATCAGATAAGTATTTTTTGAGTTATGGTGTATAACATTTTTTGGATCTTGCTTTGCAGCGCTAAGTTTGGCGGGCTGTAACTCTAAGACGGATTATTCAAATGCCAAATGTTATATAACATTGAACTTGCAATGAAACAGAGATTAACATGTATTTTTGAAATTTCGAAAAATACGCTATTTTTGATATATGACATATCGAGTTTTCTTTCATTTGTATTTTTTGGACTTTGGGACCAAATTTTTTTGAATTTTTATTTCTTTAAAAAAATATTTGGCTCATTGTTAAGAAGTATGCAAAAAAATTAGGAAGGTGTTCTTTCTATAAATGTGTTTATTTTACGTCACCATAACGGTTTCGAATAGTGATTTCGGGAGGGGAGCTTACAAATGGCGTGGTAAAGCTGCCTAGTGACATCACGGGTTACTGAAATTTCAATTGAAGTCTGAGTCATCTGAAAAAAAGTGAAAAGAGGGTTCATTCAACCCTCTTTCCTATAAGCGCGAGGGTGAAAAGGCTGTTTGGTTCTGACATTGTTTTGGACGCCAATGACCATAGCTGTCCGAGATGAAAGTTACAGGACGCATACATGGTGTCCTCCAGAGCTCTCACAACTTTTATATCTGGGAATTTTTCAAGGTTACATGAGGTCAGGTCGGTCACGTGACATCACTGTTATAAATCAATGGGGAAATATAAAAACTGTTATTTTGGCGCCGTGGATGATCTAAAACTATCCCACGTACATGGTATCGTGATTTTATGCACTCCTTGCAAAGTCCAATGCTTTACTTTTGCATTGTTAACCTTACGTGACGTCATTTATGACGTCACTAGGGTCGTACGAGTTTTTCGTCAATAACTCCCGATCAAATGGAGCTAGAGAGTCGGGAAAGCCACCAATGGACTCGGGAAGACCTTCCGAATCGAATGATATGTCATATGATACCCTTTGCCCAGCTTCGTGACCTGAGGGGCTCTGACCTGACCTTGACCCGAGGTCAACTACTTAAGTTGACCTCACCCTAGCAAAAAGTATACCATTCGATGCACCTGAGCTAGGCGAACACAATGATGCCAAAATCGCGGCTCTACGACCATTTTTTGCGAAGTTATTTACTAAAAACCGAACCCGTAACTTCAGTCACGTGACCTGACCTCAGACGCTACCGGTTAACCTGAGACCTTAAAATCGGGTACCAATCGCTGCGACTTGTAACGGCACACACGCTCGTTTTTTCCGCGAGGCTCTAGCTCTATTAGAAGCGAAACGGCGTGCTGGGGTCGTATCAACCCCTCCGAAACCCATTTTGTTTGCGGGAAAATGAGGAATTTATAGAAAGAACACCTTTCTATTTTTTTGCATGTCGATTTGCAATGACATGAAGATTATTTTGAAAAAATAAAAATGTGAAAAATTTTGGTCCCAAAAGTCATTAGAGGCAAATGAAAAAAGATTAAGGTTTTTGCTCAATAATGAAATTTTTTCTTTCGAATTTTTAAATGGTAATATTAATTTTTGATTTATTGCAAGCTTAGTGTTGTTTACTTTTTGTTGGTTGCTTAACCCGTTCTTGAGTTATAGGCCATCAAACTCACCGTTACATACCGAAGTTAAAAAAATATAATGCAATATAACTCAAAAAGTTTTGATCTGAGAAGTCTGATATTTTGCCAGGCGTCTTTGGGGCCTATGATTACCCCTAGGACTGATTTTCATTAAAATCTGAGAGATGAGGGTGACGGGCCTGGTACGATCTATCGTGGAATGCCCCAAGTATCTTGTGTCCAATAATAAAATGATCCGTATTATGCTTTCTTTATCATGTGTAGCTTTTCAGCCAATATTCGTAATGCCCTGTACGCGACAAGAGTAATAATCGCTGCAACGATCCGTGTTTTGCTGGTGCACCTGTCTGTCAGCAAGCCAGCGCCTGTCGGTTGGGCTGCAGGTGTTCTGTTCACAGCCAATATTTATCAGCGCCGCCACAGATGTGAGCGGCTCCGAACGATGGCGTGGCGCCGGCCCGGCAGTGTGCGGCGGCCCGACTCGGGAACACACGCCATCGCACAACACGCGGAAAGCAGCGAGAGCAACCGAAGACGCGGAACATGCTGCGGCATTGGCTGCTGACCTCAGGTAAGCCTTGCTGCTTAACACCGCTGCACGACATCTTCTTGGTATGGAGTGGACACTAGCAGATCCAAAAAGGCGATCCTGGACGCTGCGGGGGAGGGGGTGTAACCCCCAAAATTCCTCTAAAATCATGATATAGATTTCGATTTTTTTAATTTTTTTTTTTTTAATTTAGTCCGAACCTTTTGATGGGAAGGATTCACAAGGACAGAGCCACCGCTAAGCGAAGCTTGTTGCGATGACCCTGCCCTCTACCCTCCGATCGCGCAATTCCGATTCTATGGCAGAATTTAGAGTCCAAAGTTTAACGTGCGCACAAAGCCGCGCACGGCCGGTCCCCTCGCTGACTTCGCCTGGCTACGGCCTGCCACCAACCGCAACCATACCTGTCAGGAGGCCCATAAATGTCGAGCGCCCGTCGCGCTTCGAACCCGGACTGTCATAACCGGGAACGCGTGCTCTCACCACGCGGAGTCCAACGCTCTAACCAACTGAGCTACGGGACCGGCATTCATTCGCATTGCTGTGCAACTAAAAGCAAACTTTCATAATAAAAGTTCTCTCTCTCTCTCTCTCTCTCTCTCTCTCTCTCTCTCTCTCTCTCTCTCTCTCTCTCTCTCTCTCTCTCTCTCTCTCTCTCTCTCTCTCTCTCTCTCTCTCTCTCTCTCGCAGTGGCCGCGGGTCTGTGCAGCTGTGGCTGGGCCGGTTTCCCTGCCGTGGAGCCCACTCAGGGAGAGCCATGGCCGGCGCCGTCTGACCTCCAGCTCGGCGACACCGCGCTGCTCATTCCGATGCCCGACCAGCTCGAATTCCGCGTCACCGGTCACAGCTGCGACTCCCTGACAGCGGCCATCTCGCGGTATCAGGCGATCGTGGCTGGTCTGGCGGCACCGCGGCCCGGCCGCAGGCGCCGGCCCACCGGCACCCCCGCTCGGCGCGTGTCTGCTGAGCTGGCTCGTGTCGACGTCAACTTGACCACCGAGTGTTCAATGCCCTACCCAGAGTTCGGCATGGACGAGAGCTACCGGCTGGAGGTGGCCTCGTCGGGCGCCACCTCCGGGCTGGCGGCGCTGACCGCCGACACGCTCTGGGGCGTTCTGCGAGGCCTGGAGACCCTCGTTCAGCTGATGTACGCTAACGGCGTCGGGGGTCTGTACGTGCGGGAGGCATCGGGCAGCGACGGGCCGCGCTACTCGCACCGCGGCATCTTGCTGGACACGGCGCGCCACTTCTACCCGGTCACCGCCATCAAGGACATGCTGGACGTGATGGCCATCAACAAGTTCAACGTCTTCCACTGGCACATCGTTGACGACCAGTCGTTCCCGTTCGTTAGCGAGACGTTCCCGGCGCTGGCGGAGGGCGGCGCCTACGCCGAAGACATGGTGTACTCGCAGCAGCAGGTCCAGGACATCATCGAGTTTGCCAGGCTGCGCGGCATTCGCGTCATCCCCGAGTTTGACACGCCCGGCCACACGCGCTCCTGGGGCGTCGGGCTGCCCGGCTTCACCACCGCCTGCTACGGTGCCGACGGACAGCCGGACGGCTCCACCGGCCCCGTCGACCCCAGCAACGAGGACGTGTACACCATGCTCTCCATCTTCCTCACGGAGATCTCAGAGCGCTTCCCCGACAACTACATCCACCTAGGAGGCGATGAGGTCCGCTTCGGCTTCGACTGCTGGTTGTCCAATCCGCAGATCGTGGCCTGGATGCAGAGTCTTAACATCACCACCCCGGAGGAGGTGGAGAACGTCTTTTTCCAGCGACTGCTCGACCTGGTTGCCGACATTCCCGGGGACGTCCAGTACGTTGTCTGGCAGGACGCCGTCGACAACAACGTCACAGTTCGGCCGGATACCATCGTGGAGGTATGGAAGGGCGGCTGGCAGGTCGAGATGGACAAGCTGACCGCGCAGGATCTGCGCGTCATCCTCTCCTCGCCGTGGTACCTGGACTACATCAGCTACGGCAGCGACTGGCACACCTACTACGACACCGAGCCGGAGAGTTTCGGCGGCAGCGCGCAGCAGAACGCGCTCGTCATCGGCGGCGAGGCGTGCATGTGGAGCGAGCTCGTGGACGAGACGAACCTGATGGCGCGCCTGTGGCCGCGGGCGTCCGCCGTGGCCGAGCGGCTGTGGTCACCCAAAGGCACCGTGCGCACCGACTTCACCGCCAGCAGGATGGAGGAGCACAGGTGAGATATACACTTAACTAATACTAAAGACCACAAACGCAGATCGATCTGTCCTTCAGGATGAGCAATAGTGCAATCTTATGCGTTGCGTGGCTTTGACTTATATCAATATTAACCCTCGCCGGCACAGGCCATTTTGCTTCCTTCGACGGCACAAAGGTTGGTTGGCACGACCCCCCCCCCCCCCACACTCGCGTTTGGCCCCTGATCGAACTAGAGCTTCGCAGAAAAAAACGAACGTATTGCCCGTCACGAGAGGAAGCCGATGATACCCAATTTTGAGGTCCTAGGCCATCGGTTGACCTTCCAGGTCAGGTCAAGGACCCAAAATTCGGGAAAATCGGAACCTGTTAGAAAGTCGTAAAGTGTGGGTGCTATGGGGTTTTCGGGATGCTGATCACGAATATCGTGATAGTTTTGATCACAGATGATGTCTTTAAGTATTTAGACCAGGTCGGGTCAGGTCAGGTCAGTTCAACCAGTAGGGGTCGTGACAGGTATTCGTAGTACGCGTCAACCGCCTCTGACAGCTTTGTAACAGTGTTACGAAGGCAAAAAACTACTTCGTAAATGTTCAAATGGTGGCTAAATTCGAATTCGGCTAAAAAACTAGCCTAGAAACATGTTAAACTCGAAAAAGAAGCATATAGAAAAATTTTAGCATATAGAAACTCATAAAAAAATTATTTAAAAAAACGACCAAGATCACCAAAGGTCAATGACCTGACCTTCAGGTGACCTTGACATCCACCCAAATGCATGGGAGCAACATTAAAGCACATGTTTGAACGTTTGGAGCCACGAAAAGCTTGCAAACGCGCGGCTAATGCGAGCCGACACACGCCGAATCGCGATTCCGGCCAAACATGGTCTCGGAAAATAGGTCACAGGTCAAAGGGCATTCAGGTCAAGGTCATGAAATTTTCAGGGTAGGTGTAAAAGTGATAAATGCGAGGGTACTGCAAGTTTAGTCGCGATCCGCCGCTTTTTGCGCGAGTTATTCGCGAAAAACTTTAGGGAGGGTGCATCAACCCTGTGCCGGCGAAGGTTAAGGCATGCTGTCTTTGCAGTAGTCTTAGTAGAAAATATATATAATGGATGCTCACTGACAAGATGTAAGTTTTCAAGACATAAGCTGTAGTCGAGTTCTAGGAATTTCGCTTAGCCTTTGTTGAGAATGCTCATTTGGCGAGTGATCATCCGTTTTATAAACTAAGGCTATTTTGATCCGTTTCAGGTGTCGAATGGTCAAGAGAGGTTACAAAGCACAGCCCGCAAATGGACCCGGCTTCTGTTAATGGGCCGTCACATCAATTAATATCAGTTACAGTTCAGGCGTCATCACCAGAATGGCGATGGTAGACATTTATTGAGTTCTGTTAGGCTAGTTTATGTTCATCAGGCCTTGCGCTTTTAAAATCAAGTAAATGGAATCAAACACGAAAGCAAAGTTTGCATCTGTCAGTGTCGTCTGTCATTCTGTCGTCTGTCGTCTATCATGGTCTGTCAATGTCAAAAAATAGTTTCTTTAGGCTACGTTCAAATGATGCTACCATGCTTTCAAAGCAATAGCTGTCATTCAAGAAAGTTTTCTATCTTCCAAAACGTTTGAGCCGATATTGTATCGCCTTGCCGTGACAGTCCCAATTGACACGCATTGCGTGGCTGTCAATTTGTGTCTCCATTAACTTGGGTCCGGTGTTCATTTGCGCAAATGCGAAAGCCGAAAGTAACCAATTATAATCATTAATCATCGCTATCAAGCAGCCAGCAATTGAAGGCATTCTATATAAAATACAAACCGCGATTTAGAGCGAGCGCTTAAAGGGACTATCCCACCTTTAACATGGGGTTTGAGTTGAGATAGCCAAGTTTGCGGCGAGGTTCAGAAACCACTATCTATCTAGGTTGCAACCCCCGCGGCCTCTTGGTGTTGAAGAAATTCGTTCCCTTCATTTGAAAATGGGCCTTGTACAAGGCCCTATCTTCAACATGGAGCGACCGTTAGTGTGACTTCACCTCGTTTAGTCATTCTGATTTAAATGGGTTTGTTCGTTGAAAAATCGCTTAAAACTTGGTCTGAACTTTGTTGTGGTGCCTACAGAGTAAAAAGAATCAGCTTTATGACAGTAATGTGGCCTGGGGAAGGAGGTAATTTTGGGCTGTGACGTCACATATTTGAAAGTTTGTGTTTGGAATATGGGAAGCCTAAGATGTTTAATGAAAAATAAATGCCAGAACCGTGTTCCTGGTCATCCAATCTATAAAGTCGGGCACAATTTAACTGGTTTTAAAAACATTTTAGAAGGTGGGATAGTCCCTTTAAGGTCTTAACGAGAATGTTTCTGAATGTGAACAGCTTACACAAAACGAGGCTAGTGAACACTGACAACTGACAAGCCAGTTCCGCCGAAAAGACGGACATTTCTGGAACACAGCCACCACAATGGTCGTAGATTAGTGTGGATATTTCGCACATTTTGTGAAGAAGCAACACGTTGGCCATAAACGGTAATGATGAAATACAAGCGGTACGCACTATACAGTATACACATTACATTCGTTCCCGTTTGCTGCTTACCTGATCAGTGCTCACAGCAGGATCGTGGTAACGGACTCGTTGAGAGCACAGTCCAGTGGCGCGGGAACCGGGGGGGCTAGGGGGGGCTGAGCCTCTCCAACTTTTCGGCTGGGGGGGCTCGTAATGTATTTGAGCCCCCCCCCCCCCCCCAGCTGGAGGAATCGAAATCGGAAATCTACCAACACAATTTCATAGATTCATACATAAGCGCGGGAACCGGGGGAGAGGGCAGTGGGGGCGGTGCCTCACAACTTTTCATGAGGCCAGGAACCGTTGGGGCAGCTTGTCCTCCCCAAATTAGGGGTTGTGAGTCACAAAGGAAGAAAGCATGTGAGTGTAAAATCTACCTATTTTACTGACTCGGCAACTCATTTGGCAGCTTAAAACCTTTATTCCAGGTTGCCAAAACGTTAGTTTCTTCACTCAGCTGAGACGGAATACCTCACTTTTTTTTGCAAATACTTTCTTCTTTTTTTCGTTGAAAAGGCCAAGGTTTGAAAAATAAGTGGCCTAAAACCGATGAGAAAGCTAGATTTGGGGGTACCCTAGGTTGATCTCTATGATGGTTCAGCCCCCCCAGTCTGGAAGAAGTTCCCGCGCCACTGGCACAGTCATGAGTGACTGGCGGTGGCGAAACAAGGCACCGCCTTGTTTCGGCTTCTGCCTGTATCAGGTCAGAGGCCGAGCCAATCATTGATACGGCTGGTCACGCTGTGTATGTTAATACATTCAATGTCGCTGTACCCTTCACAGGCGATACCGATAGTCGATAGCCATGCATGCGTCGGCCACACGTGAACATGAGTGGGAGGGTTATGGGCATGGGTTGAGAAAAAGGGAACAATTTGATCCATTCATTGCCAAGTTTCAGGGTATCCGTGGCAAAAAAACGCTTTGTGATGCATGAACCTAACGACACTCAGCTCCAAGGGCTCCGCCACCGTCTTTTGGTTGGGGGGGGGGGGGGGGGGAGGAGAGGACGGTCTGTCCTTCGGCCATCGCCCTAGTGTCTCCTTTAAACCTAAGGTACCCCCAAATCCTGTTTTCTCATGGGATTTAGGCCACTTGTTTTTCGTCATAACTCTGACACGATGAATATTCAACTAAAAAAAAAAAGAGAGAAATGGTAGGCCACCTGACACATTGTTTTTACCTATATTAGGTTGCAGCTTCCTCACATTGCCACACCAGACGGTAAAAAAGCCAAGGTCAGGGTAGTGGAGGCTAGCTAACGAGGCTGGCCGTTGTTTTGGACCGTTTTTAGCCCGATCCTTCCATAAATTCGAGACGTTATCCGGTACCCCGTCATTTGACCTCAAATTTGACCTTGAAAGTCAGAGGTCAAGGTCAAGGTCATGGTCACGGAGGCTGCCCACGGTGACGAGCTATCATGTATGTATACCCACTTTTGGTCCTCTGGGGCCCATAATTCGGGACGTTATTGGATACCCCGTCTTTTGACCTCAAATTTGACCTTGAAGATTACCTTAAAATGTGTTTTATGTCCATTTTTAGAATCAGCGTGTCCTACTTCATCTGATAACATATTTCAATTAATTCTGAATCCGACGCTGAATCCGTCGCTGAATCCGTCGCTATCTTCACGCACGTCGTGTAGTCACAGTTTTCAATAGGCTTACTACAATGCGGCGGCATTGAGCATAGTGATGTTTCTCTATTCTGTTCCACACATTCGGCCAGACGCTAAATCCAGTACTTGTGCATAATCGTCCGTGGTATCTGCGTGGCCTAATGGATAACACAGCACGTTCTCCAAACGAGTTTGCGGTCGGGTGCGGGCCCTCAGAGATCTGCGTGGTCCCTGTAGCCTCCATGGGGTCGTCCAAAGACGTTGTGAGTGCCCTCAGAACCTACGTTGGTTCCTGGAAGCCGTTGAGAGGGCCCTCAGAGACCGTCGTGGGACCCTCAAAGACTGTCGTGGGGCCCTCAGAGACTAGAGTGGTCTCTGGAGCCCACGTGGGGGACCCTCAGCTATCGTCGTGAGGGTTCTCGAAGGTCGTCATGGGGGTCCCAGAGGTCACATCAGAGGTCATCAGAAGTCATCGTGATAGTCCCCAGAGACCGTTGTGGGGACCCTAAGAGGCCAGCGTGGCCCCTGGAGTATCCGTGGGGCCCTCAGAGGCCGTCGTTGTGGCCCTCAGAGGCCGTCATGGGCCTCCAAACGTGACTTGGGGCCCGGAAAGCCGGCTTGGGGACCCAAAAATCAGGCGTGCAGCGCTCCGGATTCTAATATTGACCTTTCTATGATCCCACATCGGCTATTGTTTCTCGATCACTAATTTTCAGGAGGAAATTTCGACAATTTCGACGAGGTCCTCGTGCAAATTTTTTCGGGAGCAAAAGAAGCACCTGTACCCCATGTTTTTGGATGGAGGTGCAGCTGCATCCCTTCACCCCTCTTCCGTCGCCCTTGCTTGCATGGTTAAGACGATGTTTACCTGCAATGATGTATTTATTTCAGCAAATTGATGAACGCTGTATTTATTTCAGCAAATGTTGAAAAGCTAAGATGTTATAGTCTGCTCCTGTCAAGCTTGCGGTCGAAGTTCCTTCGGCAGTTCGCTCCTCCGTTCAAAAATTTGCGTCTTTGAATGTAAGAGCTCAGAGCTGTATGTACCTACAGAAATCACGCACTTTTCAGCAGAGCACATCGGCTGCAAGCTTGACAGGGAACAGACTATAGCGGTTTCAAAATCATGTCGTAATTATAATTGCTCTACTACTGGCATGAATATTAATGTATATTAATTCACACTATGTACATATCTTGCGGCACGCTCATTGTTCATCGTAACCAGAGTCCGTGTGAACTTAAGCCAGTGTCCCTGTCATTCCGTGTCATTGTCATTCCGTGTTGTTACGTCCCGTTTCGTTCCATGCCCGTGACATCAGAACCCTGCACGTGAACGTGTTCGCCACAGTCCGTGCTAACGTTCGTGTTAGCCGCAGTCCCGCGTCGGTGACGGATTACCTCAGTGACGTAATTGGATCACATCAGTACAGAGACTGATCAGTCCAAACAGTGACCGACTGGTCCACCACATCAGTGACCGACCGGTCTGCATCAGTGATCGACCGGTATACATCAGTTAGCGACCGGTATACATCAGTTAGCGACCAGCATACATCAGTTAGCGACCGGTCTGCATCAGTGACCAACCGGTCCACATCAGTTAGTGACCAGCATCAGTGCAGCGAGCGACTAGTTAGCATAGCAGTACAGATTAGTATAGGCAAAAGGCGATCATGATGCGGGTGCCACCGAGCGTCGGCGGTGCTCCACGCCGGCTGTACCGGACGCGCTCAGCGCCGTACCGGCCGTGGTCGGCGGCCAGCGCCGTACCGGCCGTGGTCGGCGGCCAGCGCCGTACCGGCCATGGTCAGCGCTCAGCGCCGCACACCAGCCGTCTCCCGTCTCCCCGTCTCCCCGCACCAGCCGTCTCCCGTCTCCCGTCTCCCCGTACCGGCCGTCTCCCGTCACTGCGGCTCCTGCCAGGCTGGGCACGGCTCCTTCGCGCGTCGGTTCACGGTGGCTTGCGTGGCCCGGGGCACTGGGGTCGCGCCGTTCGCGGACTGCGGGGTCGCGCCGTTCGCGGACTGCGGGGTCGCGCCGTTTGCGGACTGTGGGGTCGCGCCGTTCGCGGACTGTGGGGTCGCGTTGACGGGCGTCGCCGGCTGGTGAGGGGGTGTCCTCGGCAGCGGTCGGCAGACGCGGCGTCGGTAGACCAGCTCTGCACAGAGTAGCAGAGCGCCGGCCACAGCTCCCACCGCCAGCAGCGCGAACGCCGTCAGCGTGTGGCGCAGGGAGATGGTCTGGAACGACTGTAACGACAGGGGAACGACAGGGGAATTACTGCAACGGCAGGGGAACGCGTTACAGGAACGACTGCAACGACAGGTGAACGACTGTAACGACAGGGGAACGACTTTGGGAACCAATGAAACGACACGGGGGCGATTACAATCAGAGAGTAACGACATCATAACGACTGAAGTGACACGAGAACGACCGGTGCTCATGGTATACTAAATGCCAGTTTCGGGGGAGCCGAATGACAACCATTTGTGGACTGGCCCGCGCCCTGGAATGCGTGACATCACAGGTCGCAAGCTCGCCGGGTCGGGAGGAGCGGCCCGAGGCCCTTTTTCGTGACCGATCTCAGTGACGGCCGGTTGTTCACGCATACCGCATCTCCGGCTGAAGGTAAGAGCTGCTCAGATCCGCAGTGGCTTCTACTATGCGGATTAGCTTCGTACATTTGATGTTGAAGCTCAACTTAGCGACAATCTGATGTGGATCGATCTTGATACCGCCGGAGTTGCTTTTAATGCCCTATACTATTATCATTTGGGTATTGAATTTGATATCGGTCTGTCTCCCGCATCCCCCTGTCTCGGCAATAAGCTAAAAACTACCCTAGAAACACGTGAAACTCGAAAAGTGAGCCCAGTTGATCTAAAGTAAATGACCTTGACCTGACCTCGTGACTGGTCAAGTGGTGGATCGGCTGCATGTTGCTAGAGTTATTCGCGAAAAAAGGGGATGTCCGTTCAATCCCTCTCTTTTAATCCAAGTGCATGTTATTTAACCCGCGCGGGGCTGGGGGGGGGGGGTAAATTTTACCCCCCCTGTTATCTCCCGAACTAATGGTCCGATTTGGAAAATTCAAACGCCAATCAAAAGCTCTCATCACGAACTACTAAAAACATGTACTTAATTTAAAGTTTGAGGTCAAGGTCAAGGTCAGGTCAAGGGTACAAATTGCAAGTTTCTACAGTATCGGCCTTGCACCGTAGTTGCCGAAGAATGGAGTCATGGACTGAGACTGATCGCCCAAAACGTGTTCTTAGGCTACCAAGACAATATTAGTTGCATACAATATCATTCAGAGGTCAAGGTCAAGGTCAGGTCAGGTCAGGTCAGGTCACCAAAAAACAAAATATAGAAAAGGGCATGTGCGACACATGTTTTATGGGCCATTTTCCTCATAGAATTCAATAGGCACACTCAATAAGTGATATGGACCACCTCTGGATGAATTTCAGGTCGAGGTCAGGTCAAGGTCAGGTCAAGTGAGGTCAAATTTTGAAGTTGGTTGTTAAGGCCTAAAAAGGTGTCTATCTGATGCAGTTTTTCACGGCGAATCGAATGGTGCTATTTTTGTTTCCGTACGAGGTCTAGAACTTCCAAAAAAGTCATTTTTCAAAAATTTTGTGTGTCGTGACGTCATAAAGTTTTGAATAACTCCCACATTTTTGAACCGATTCTTCTAAAATTTGGTATGTAGGTGCACATAGACCACTTCTCTGACATATATTCCGATTTTTTCGATAGACTCAAAATTTTGGATTTTATAATGATTTTCCCAAAAAAATCAGTTTTTTGAAAAAAATTAGGCCAAAATCCAAAATTTTCAAAAAACCGAGATAGCCATTTGATAGACAAAGTAAAATTACGTATAAACTTTTTTGTTACGTCTTGATTCCTTTAAAAATGAAGATGTTAGCGGCATTTGAACTTTTGCCGTTTTTGAGGCGAAAATGGCGAACATGACGTCACTAAAACGTCAATTTCTCAAAAAATTTCCGACGGATTTCGCTCAAATTTTCAGGGAAGGTGTCAAATTGATGTAAGAAAAGGTACTGAAAGTTTGGCGGCGCTGCGCGCCGCCGTTTTTGAGATATCGCAAAAATTCGCGAGGGGGGGTAAAATTTACCCCCCCCCCCCAGCCCCGCGCGGGTTAATGAGGTTAGTGCTTGTGCGAGGAACATGTTCATAAATAGTAGAAAATGTAAAAACATGACCTTATTTCCTCGATAATTGCCAAAACTAATGCTGTACAAATATATACTTTATTTGAAAGAATGTAATATTTCGACCACAGGTCTTTTTCAAACAGTTTCAAATTAGAAACGATACCATTTCCATTTGCCGCATTTCCAACTGTCTTTCAACAAAAATTTATGGTTGAATCGTGCCCACTAGCTCACTCGCACCACTCATGAAATATTTGGCTAGCAAAAATAGCATCACATAGGGCACCTATTTTTCAAAATACATAGTTTCAGCCGTACGAGATAAGTAAGTATTAACATACCGACTGACCATAACACAAAACATCCTACAGGCCTTCGCCATTATTTCTCACAATTTCGTCCAAAGTCACCCAGCTGTCTACAAGGCATAACAGATGCAGCATGCCAGCAACTATCATATGCTGTCCAGGCTTTTACACATTTACGTGTCTATCCGTCCAGTATTCATATAACACCGTAACACCAGAATGGAATACAAAGAAAGCAAAGATGGGCATAATTGGCATACTCGCATTAACATACCTATAGCGTTCAATGCCATAACATATAGCGTTAATCAATAACACACATAGTCCACCCTCCCCCCCCCCCCTCCCACACACACACAAACACTATCTAGCTTTGAACGCGTGAACATACGCAGTACCTAGTGCACAGTAAACATATACAGTACACATTTACACATACATCGGCGTTGTTCCTAGCATTGTTTACCTTACAAAATAGGCCAAGACGATACATTACTGTTGAGTTCCGGGCGGTTCTTTCTTATCAGCAGCGATTCAGCTATTTTACGGTCTGGATGGTCTTTAGACTTGTACAATATTTTAATTTTGAGCGGAGCAGACGTCCCATCTACGATACTGTCACCGTGTTTCTCCGTAAAGTGATCACCCAACGGAGTGTCAGGGGTCCTGTTGGTCATGTCGCGCACGTGTTCATTGAACCTGAGGCGGTCCCCAATCCCACCGGTCCCCAATCGGTGGGTCGCCCCGCCCCGTCCCGTCCCCAGTCGGGAGTGTGTGGCCGCCCCGCCCCCGTCCCTGGTCGCGGATGTGGCCGCCCCCCCCCCCGCCCGGTCGGTGGGTCGCCCCACCCCCCGGTCGGTGTGCCGGCCTGCCCCAACAGACTCGCCCCACTCACCGCGGTGGGATTGCGGCACGAGCCGCGCGATACGGCCCAGGGTCGCTGACTGCGTGAGACCACCCCGGCCTCCACCAGCCGGTTCAGTCTGCGGACAGCAACACACACGAGCCGTGGGATGGCGTGCCGCCAGCGAGCAGCTGACACGGGGCTGGAGATGTCCGTCGGAGGATTAGAATTATTGGGTCCCAGCCAATACCAATCTGATATTGATAAGGTATATACGACACTTCGAGGGTAACGTTATGTTTGGGTACATTGCTGAATTCGGTATAAAGCCGACTGTTGTTTCTATTTCCTCACAGTGTTCTGGTTCGTTCGATTCAGGTTTTCGTTCTATTTCTCTACGGTTACTTTCACTCACAGGTTGGCTATGCGGGCGCCGTAGGGGAGTTGTTTCTGCAGCGCCCAGTGTGTGTGCACCACGTCCAGACGGAGCGGCGTCCACACCAGGCTGCAGCTGCTCCGTACCAGGTGGTCCGCCTCCGTGTGACTGCGACGGCAAACGTATGATTTATACGGCATACAGACAGGTGATATATTAAAGGAAGGGTGCCACCTTTTGGACACAACGCAGTTTTTACAAGATTAGCCTCACATGAACCTAAAAACCGGCTTCACTTACCTATGCTCGAGACGGTCAGCATTGAATCCGCACGTGAAGTTATCATTTGCGAGTTTTGCTGCCAGCATTCGGGCAGGCAAAAATCTTCAGCACTATTTCCTCGTCGTGTTAAGGGTATTTTATAAAACATGAAATCAGCAAAGGTATGTATAAAAGTTATACTTTTGAAGCATGTTTTATCATTTTGAAAGGGTATATTTTTTCTTTATGGTATACACTTAACCCATTTATGCCCAGGAATATTGACCATCATGAAAATCGACGAAATCAAAATATGTTATGCTCCTACCAGGGCCTTGCATGGAATCGAAAATAATTTTTGCCTGCAGCAAAAGTTTTTCGAGAAAAACGTAAAAAACATGCGTTGCGAAATCGCAACGAAGGGCACACCGGGCGCCATCAGCGTTGCGAAAACGCAACGACGGGCACACCAGACGGACATAAAGTATACACTGAACTGCCGTATATGCTAATTTGTTTTGACAAAACATCAATCAACTGTTGACAACTATTGCTTGAAAATGCGGAACCCACATCCGTCATGCTCTATAACCCGCCTAAGAGCCTCAGTGAGGAAGCATAACCTCATGATTCGCGAACGGGGAGATGGCAACACGGTCATTATCAACCATTTACGTTGTCCATTGCTGTTCATTTAAAGTTGTGGTCGACACGTATCCAGGGTGATGTTTTCTTTTTGGAAGCTAGACAGAGCCATTACCCCCACCTATCAGACCCCACACTAATACAATTAAACGGAGGATTGGGAGTAAACCAGTGCCTCACGTATGCGCGTATATCCGCAATCATTGTTAACCACCCTCCTAGGAGTAAAGTTAAATTCCATTGCAGGTTAGTCGTACCCACTCTCAGCAAAAAGAAAAAAAAGGACCGATCCGGCTCTAACAAATAACCCGCGTAAGGCGTAGCGCATCACAACAAATCGACTCCCAGTTTATCATGTTTACACCTAATCCAAAATTTTCATGGCCCCACTCTCAGCGACCTTCACGTGTAACCTCTTTCTCGAGACAATGCCAGGACAGAATGGTGATTCGACGTCAATCCGTCCTTTCCATCTTCAGGATAGTTGAATCCTCCTCCACGCCTCAACCCCCTGTTCCGGGCTGGACCGGCAACGTATATCGCAATCGGGCAGCTCACATAGGAGCGCGCCTGTAGCCGGGTGCAGTGAGTGCTTGGGAGGGGGGAAGGGGGTGGGTCATGGGTGGCCTGCCCACTTCTGGGCTCAGTCTCCAGTCTACGATTAACCGTGTCCGGTCAGACAAATGTCTCCCCTAATTCCAATAATCCTGCTAGCTCTAAAAATGGTCTGATTAGATAAAAAGCCTATCAAAGCAAGAAAACAAGCGTATACTCTACATTAAGCAGCTTATGAATCTATGCGAGTTATGAATCCTAAAAATCATTATTTTCCCAGGTCCGCCCTCATTACCCCTGCCGAAGGGCTCAGCTACCCCCAGAGGGGGCCTATCCCACTATTTGCCGACCCTCAGTTATCTTTTCTAACGTAAATGTTGGTAGTCAGCAGATTCTATCCAGAGAATGGCGATGCCTATCGGTCGCCTGATACCAGAATACATCCCCCTTATTCATTATATATGCACAATGTACATAGTAGATCCAATTTCCAAAGGACCTAATTATCTCTCAGCTCCGTTAGCATCGCCGACTGTTTGATGCATGGGTCCTTTTCCTACCATGCGATTTTCAGATGCATGGGGACACATTGCTTAGTAACAGCCGGAGGCCGAAATCTGCGAGAGAATAAGAAAGGAGTGTTAAAAATATGAAATGTGTCGCAACATTTTACGTGCGAACGCACCTTGCAATAAACATACCTATACACGTCCCTCGACCCTCATGGCATAGGCGGCGAAGCGCGGGGGAGGGGGCACCGGGGCACCGTGCCCCCTTGATTTTGCCATTTTAACATTATCCCTATAGGCGTTGCATGGAAATGGAAATGGAAAGAATGGGACCAAAAGTCGGCAGTGCCCCCCCCCCCCGCCCTTAATTGAAGATGTTCCGCCGCTACAGCCTCATGGCTACAAAATGAGAGAGAGAAAGAAAGAGAGAGAGAGAGAGAGAGAGAGAGAGAGAGAGAGAGAGAGAGAGAGAGAGAGAGAGAGAGAGAGAGAGAGGGAGGGAGAGAGTTGGGGAACGAGGAGGAGAGGGAGGAAGATGGGGGAGAGAAAGAGAGAACCCACAGCGTATCACGAGTGAAGTCTATTGTTGATATTCATACTTCCGCTACCCTGCAAATGTGCCCATCGTTGCGTTTTCGCAACACCGCTGTCTTTCCGATGTGCCCTTCGTTGCGTTCCCGCAACGCGACCGTAGTCATATTTGAAAATAGTCACAAACCCTTTTTGTAGCATTATTTCTTAACAAAATGCATATCTACGCTATTGTAAGGACTCTGCAGAATATGTTTACACAATTTTCATTACGATATTGTTAAGCACTTAGCCTACTTATCTTGGTTTTCGTGACGTTATCACTCACAAAACCTTCGACTTCCCTCTGAGAGCTCTAGGCAGTAACTTACCGGCCGCACAGACTTGTAACTGCGTAGCATCATGCGCGCAACCATGCTACACACGCTGAAACTTGTCTCATCGGTTAGTCTCTTTTACACACTTCTCAAGCTTCGATCACGTCGACGCTTGCTTGCGTTGCGAAAACGCAACGAAGGGCGTAAATGGGTTAAGAATTAAAATTTTAATTGGGAAGTTTTTCTAGTAAGTTGCATGAAGGGTGAAGGGTTCCATAGATCTCTTAAAGGAAATAGTTCACTTTTTAACATGGGTTTTGAACTGGAATAGCAGTTCCGTAGCTTGGGCTGAGACGAGCATAAATCAGGAGCTTTTACAGCCCAACGATCACCCTAGGCAAAGATATTCTATTTCTCGTCCCGAAAAAGGTGTCTTGCGTTGAGGATGTGTGCCTTGCATATATTTCCATCCAGTATGAAAAGAGCATGGGTCCCGAAAATTCTTCAGAAACTAGAGAAATTATCTACGAGAACTCTAGAGAAATTCTCGTACTGATCAATTAGGACATTCAGGGGAACATTATCAGATCGAGCAGATCGCCCAAATGCCGGTGGCTGCGATAATTTCTCTGTTTCTGAAGAATTTTCGGGACCCATGCTCTTTTCATACTGGATCGCGTGTGCCTTACAGAAACTGAAAAGTTCTTCCTATATCAAAATATAGAAAATAATCTTTTGTTATAAAAAGGTTTTATTTTCTTTGCTGATTATTTTGAACATAAAAAATCATAAATCCGTTGCAAAAAAAATAATTTCGTGAAAGTGAACTATTTCCTTTAAGCATTGTAAAGGAAAAACCTTTACTCGACTTATTTGATGTTCTTTTCTGATGTTCTTTCTGATGTTCTTTTGATGAAACCTTTAGTTCAAATCATGTTATCTTCTTCCTTTTTATTTGTTCATCTTTTTGTCTCAGTTGCGCCATCAATGCAAATGGCAGAATGATATGTTGCCATGACAACAGGATATGCCAGCCGTCCTAGCTGCCACATCAAACGACCTTGAGTTGTAGTGGTGATATAAACAACGATCTTTTTTTTGGCCAATGTATTAAATGCAATGTTTCGGTTTTTTGTATATTGTGGACGCGCTAACCACGTCTAAAAATTCAAATAAGTAAAATAGATTCATAGAACAAAAATTTCGGAAGGTGGCACCCTTCCTTGAACAGATTTTCCTCCTGAGGTATAAAAACTATGAGGCGGAGTTGGAGGTGGTCAATGCTTGTGTCAGCTGAAGCTGGCAATTTTATCTATGTACGGTCCACAGCAGAAGTAATGTGTGGTTTCAGTCATGGGTATGTTCTGCTGACTGCTTCTGAAGCCTAGGATCGATTAGCCAGACTGCAACGAGACTTTAAATGTAGCTTACATGTATATTCACCCTTGCAGCTACAACTTTATCTATTGACGTCTTCTTTTCAATCAGTCCGCATTTAAAAATCGTCGGTCAAAGCCATCCGTTGAGATTGGTAAAACCACACATTACTTAATAGCGGCATAGGCGTAGGAACAGGGGGGGCCGGGGGGGCCATGGCCCCCCCACTTTCGGAGGTGGGGGGGCCAGCAATGTTAACTGGCCCCCCCACTTTTTGCTGACTTAAGTGTCTGTCTGTACCTAACCTACCACCCGGTAACTTGACAACATTCAGCTTGCCCTTTAATGAGGATTCCTTTTTGTTTCTACAGCGTTATTGACCGCAATTTCCTTCACTCAATGAAGGAAACCATATCAGAGACAAGACTGTGAGTCCTGGTGACAGCATTTTGTTGAATACGAGGCGCGGGACAGCGAGCACTAAAAAGGTATAGGCAATACTAAGACAATACTTGCACGGTGCAGGAGAATGCGTATACAAACGACCAACGCTTGACCTTATCTGCTTGGGGTCGGCATAGTTCGTCAAAGGCGTACTAGCTGGGGGCCAGGGTGACCATGCCTCAGCCTCGGTTCAAACAGGCTGGGGGCCAGCAATGTCTGTATCTGCCACCTCCCCCCTTCCACTTTCAGTGCAGTGGCGGTCGCAGAGGGGGATCAGGGCCATGCCCTTCCCCCCTCCAAAGGCTAATCAGGGGGCCATCATATCATTTGGCCCCCCCAAACAACCAATGGGCCCCCATGGGCGTATGGGGCTCTGGCCCTTATTCGATTGTCACGAGACTCAAGAATCCCACGCTAGCTATTAACAGCTCCCAAGCCAGTCTTTGAGGGTCCTACACTGATCTCGGAGGGCCCTTCAGTGGCGGTCAAGCGCCCACATTGACCGCTGAGAACCCACATTGACCTCATTTGAGGGCCCCTAAACCGGCCTCAAGGGCCCAGCCGGCGTCTGAGGGCCTCACACCGGCCTCTGGTGGCCTCATTTCTGTCTCTGGGGTCCCAAGACTAGCCTTTAGGTGCCTTTGAGGGCCCCGCACTGAATTCTGAAGACCCGATGCCGGCCTCTAAGGGTCCGCATCGGCCTCTGAGGGTCCACCTTGGCCTGAGGGGTCCAACGCCGGCCCATGCCGGTCTTTTAGGGCCCCACACTGACCTCTAAGGGCCCATGCTGACCTGTAAGGACCCACATTAGCCTATGAGGCCTTGCACGGGATTCTGAAGACCTGATGCCGGCTTCTGAGGCCCATCTTGGTTTTTGAGGGTCTTCTGCTGGCCTCTGGGGTCCAACACCGGCCCATGCCGGCATTTTAGGGTCCCACACTGACCTCTGAGGGCCCATACTGGCCTGTAAGGACCCACATTAGCCTCTGATGGCCCAAGTCGGCATCTTAAGGTCTCATCCTGCCCTTTGCAGGCCCTGTACTGGTCTCTTAGGGCCTAAACCCTCGCCGGCCGGGGGGGGGGGGGGCGGGTGCCGCCCCTCCATAGGTTTTTTTTTCGCGATAGCTCCGAACACGCCGGCGATAGAGAGCTGAAGCTTGGCATACCTGACCTTTGAATCAAACGGGATCTTTTGACACCAACCGCATTTTCGGGTCAGATCAGGTCACTGGCCCATGTGGTCATAAGTGAACCTCTGCACGGTCTTCAGATGTCGCAACTTCGCAACGCCCTCACTGCCAGAGGAGATTTCACAGGGAAATGAACCTTGGAGGACCTAGTATCCAATAGGAGTCTCTCAACTTGTATAATGTAGTATATCTCGGATTTTTCCTAAAGTTCATATGAGGTCAGGTCATTTTCGTGACCTCACCATTAGGTATAAGTCAATGGGGATAAACTGAAAACTTTTCTGGCGCCGGGAACGATCGATCTCCAACTATCTCAAGCACACCGAATCGTGATTTCATGCACTCCTTGCAAGGTTCGATGCGTCACTTTTGCAATGTTGACCTTGCGCGACGTCGTTTATGAAGTTATAAGGGTCTTATTAGTTTTTCGTCAATAACTAGGTACCGATCAAATTGAGCTAGCGAGTCGGGAAAGCCACCTATGGACTCAAGAAGACCTGCCGAATCGAATGATATGCGACATGACCTCCTTTGACCAATTTCGTGACCTGGGGACGCCGACCTGACCGTGACCCGAGGTCAACACCCTAAGTTTACCTCACCCAAACAAAAAGTATATCATTCGACGCGCCTGAGAGAGGCGAACACGATGCTGGCAAAATCGCGGCTCTGCGGCCATTTTTTGCGAAGTTATTCACCAAAAACGGAACCGTGCCTTGAGGCACTTGACCTGACCTCAGAGGTCACCGGTTTTTGTTTGTTTTGTTGGGTTAGGCCCTTTCGGTCCAATGAGACCATTTCAGAGCCGGAAGGATGATAGGATATAGGGGGAGACATTGGTCTGGGCAGGCACCCTAATGAGTCGCCGGGGCTGAGCCCGTCCAGAGGACAGGCCACCCAGCCCCAAGGCACTCACTGCACCCGGCTACGGGGTGCGCTCCCTCGGGTGCAGCGGTGCCGCTCCAAGGGAGCAGCCCGCATGAGATAAAGTTGCCTGTCCAGCCCGGAGGGGGTTGCGGCGTGGAGGAGAAGGATTTCAGTGTCCTGAGGATAGAAGCACGGAACGGTGTCAGAGGTCACCGGTTGACCTAGGACCATAAAATCGGGTAGGGGAGAGCGGGGTCATTTGGCCGCCCGGGTCACTTTGGCCGCCCCATGCCTACGCGTTTTGACGGTCCCGAGCGATTATTTTTTAATATGGCATCATCCGCCGTCATAAGAACTACTTTGGAAAGAAACTAAGGAAACTCGGCGACGCCCAGTTTTTTGTAAAGCCAACGATATTTGAATTTTGGCTAAAAAACGTAACTTTTTCTTCTTTACGAAAAGTTGCATGGTGTCCCTTATTTGGGTGACATCAAAATTTTAACTCTATGGTAGAACAATCTGGTAATTCAGGAAGCTGTCTGACCCTTTTGCAAGTTTGAGTAACAATTTTTGCTTGTCTGCGGACCCCTTTTCCTAAAAATGTCATATTGGGGTAAATTGGCCGCCCCATACGGGGCGAATTGGCCGCCCAGCGACTCAGTTGATTTTTTGCCTAGTCTGCGAGCGACGCTCTGCGCTGGCTAAGTTCTGCCACTGCGGATGGTAATGCGGCGGAGTCTAAATTCAAGGGACGACCTAACCAAGGTGTCCGCTGATTGGCTTTCGGCACCCGGCGGCAGATGGTGAACCCGGGACGTCACATCGACCTCTACCAGGTGGCGCCGATTTTTCGTCGTGCCTAAGACGCCACCTTCACGCGGAAGAACATCCTTAAGGGATTCGAAGCAGCCGGGATATCGCCGCTCAACCGGGATATCTCCGACGACGAAGACTGCGCCGACGGCGGTCTTCGCACCGGTCGTCGCCCCAGCGACGGCAGATCAGCACGCCGCGGCCCCGGCCGTGCTCCAGCCGCCAGCCTCGGCCGTGCTCCAGCCGCCAGTCTCGGCTGTGCTCCAGCCGCCAGCCCCGGGGCCGGCCGTGCTCCAGCTACCTGCCGCGGCCGTGTCTTAGTTGCTTGTCGGAAGCCCAGAGTCCATCCGACCACTTCCGCAGCTGCGCATCAACGTTCAAAAAGCCGGTCGGAGGAAAGGGCGTTCTAAAATCATGACTAACAGCCCGGAGCGGACGATTTTGGAGAGCGAGCAACAGGCACGTATGGCGAGGAGCAAAAAGCGGGGTCCACAAGCTGGACCGTCGAACCATCGAACGTCGGGAGCTGGACGTCGAACCATCGAACGTCGGGAGCTGGACCGTCGAAGAAACAGGGGCGCTAAGGTGAAAAACAGTGAAGCGCAGTGATGACTGGAGTGGACATCCATGCCGTCGGGACCGTATTTTACAGTGGATGTGTTTAAGTGCTGGGTCGAAGACGGGGCCTGCTGGAATCGTTTTTATTTCATGTTTACGACAGAGTTTGAAATAAACAAACAACTCGTACACAAAGGACTTTTTTTGCAGTGTGATTGTCGTCTAAAGCAATCTACGATTTGGCAGCCATTACAGTTGGCTGTTGTTATCACTGGGCAGTGCTCAACTCATGAGTCGTAAGTTCGTAAATCAAATGTGGCTCCTCACTTGCACTGATTCAAATGAATCGAGTGTAAGCTTAGTCTTTTGAAAAATTTGATTTCAGGCGAATCAAAGATGAGTCACGATGCTCATCATTTGGGTCAGCATTGGGGCATCTGGATCGTCACATCAGTCATGCGTCGAGTCAATCCAGAATTCATGAGTTAAGCAAAATCTTGGGCGTCAATATTTCAGGTTGTCTCAGCTCTGTAATGGGTATATCTCTGAATCACATGCCCGGCCAAATGACCCCACTCCCCCGGCCAAATGACCCCGGTACCGGGGTCATTTGGCCGCCGTGCAGTCTTTGAAAGAACGGCTAATTACTACCGAAACGAGATGTCCCGGCATGATGCAGGTAATATGCCGGAACAACAATTGAACGCCCCACACCCCTCCATGGAGAAATCGACCAAACGCGCACTGGTTTTCTCAAAATATCGTTTTTACAAAAGGGCGGCCAAATCGCCCCGTTCTCCCCTACCGATCTCTGCGTCTCGTAACGGCGCACACGCTCGTTTTACCGCGACGCGCTAGCTCCACCTGGGGCGAAACGGCGAGGGGGGTCGTACCCGCCCCCCGCCCCCTCGGCCAGCGCGTATGTAGAAAACCTATAGGACCGAGCCGTGGAGGGTTAAACTGGCCTCTGAAGGCCCAGACCGTCTAAAAGTCCCACACCGGCCTCTGATAAGTGATAGTCAATCAGCCCAGTTGCAGTGGTCGCTGATATAAAACCTCTTAAAAACGTTATAGGCCTGGCTGAGCCTAGCTGGGCCGTTCATGCTGATTTTTATAGGTATATGGAAAAGACTCGCTTTGCACGTTTCACGCTTGCTCGTAATGAAAAAGTTGCTGGATGCCTCTGGAATTTGCATGGGTGCCAACGGCTGCGGAGGACAGGGGAACGCGTCCATCAGTTTGAGTTTATGGACGGGAGACTCCCTGAAATTTCAACCAATTTTTTTCTTTTTTTGTCATTTTTTTTTACCTCTGAGCATGTTTGCGAAAACAAAGTGGCCGAAATCCGAGGAGAAATCGGATTTTGGGGGTAGGTTAGGTTTTGGACCTCTGGGACCCTGGCCCCCCCACTTTCGAAAACGTTCCTACGCCTATGAATAGCGGTGGGCTGTACCTACAGCAAAACATGTCATGCTTTAAACGGAAAGTGACGTGATAGAGCAACACATGAAATCTTAGATTCAAATGGTTGAAAGTAAGATCCCAATCCAAAATTAATTTTGTAAGCAAAATTCACTCTATCTCACAACCAAAAGCTCAAGTCAAAAATCGATACAGAATATAGTGTAGCCAAAATATAGTCAAAATATAGCCAAAGGTCAAGATCTGCTTGTCCTTGCAACATATATTCTATGCATATTTTCATTAGTTACGCAGGATCAGCAAAACTCTGAAAATACTCACCCTGCGAATACTGTGAACTTGTCATCGCGCAAAATCCTCTCCAGACTATCCTTCAGAGAAGACTGGTAAACGATTTCATGATTTTGCAGTTCTGTTCTACCCTGAAAATACATAAACAGAAAGTTTAAGATCTATGGCTACCTCATTCAGCGCGTCGTAAGAGCTCATATTTCAAATGGGGCTGGAACATTATCACCACAAAACAAGGTCATCAGGCGCTGGTCGGGGTCATTAAGTGCCATCTGAGGTCACCGGGCGTCAACTCAGGTCACCAGGCAGCGGTCACTGTGCTCTGACCGAATTCACCAACCCCGCGTTCAGAGTCTCTCGGACGACGAAGATTCTACGTCGTCCGGCCAATCACGTTCTATAACCGCAGCCAAGCCCCCGCTGACCTTGAACGGGATTGGCCGGACAATGTAGAATCTTCGTCGTCCGAGAGACTCCGAACGCGGGGCAAGTGTCATCTGAGGTCACTGGATGCCATCTGGGGTCATCGTGCGCTAGCCAGGGTCACCGGGCTCTGGCTGTCCCGATGACGTGGTCACCTGCAGCAGCGCGTCGGCCCTTCCGCCGGGCTGGACGGCCACCCGCCAGCCGCGCCGGCCGGCCAGCTCCTGCAGCGTGCTGAACGGCAGCGCCCTCCCCACAGACACCAGCAGCGAGATGATGTTGCTCGTGTAGCTGGCCAGCAGGATGACGCAGAAGATCCAGAAGCAGCCGACCACCTGGCGCGCCGAGACGGAGCGCGGCGCCAGCTCCGCGCCTGAGGACGCGGCAATGTCAGAACAATTAGGAGTCTAGCCTAGGTAGGCTAGAGCAGCGTCACACATTCTTGCCTCACATCTTGACAATGTGAGGCTGGGGTTCTGCGCCACCCCTCTGTGTGTGGGGCTAGGGTTCTGCCCCACCCCTCTGTGTGTGAGGATGGGGTTCTGCCCCACCCCTCTGTGTGTGAGGATGGGGTTCTGCCCCACCCCTCTGTGTGTGAAGATGGGGTTCTGCCCCGCCCCTCTGTGTGGGAGGCTGGGGTTCCGCCCCACCCCTCTGCCGGGGAGTCGCGGTGGGTGGCTCCGCCTTTCTGCCGGGCGGCGCCCTCTGTGTCGTAAAGCGGGGCGGCCCGGGCGCATGCGCGGTGACCGGCCGGTGGTCAGCCGGGGAGGCGGCGCCTGGCGGCTTTGTCAAGTTATCTGAAGATCAAGGCGGACAAATACAGGCCGTACAATTACAGGCCGCAAGTGACTGAACGCCGTCTTTACCTAACAACAAGATCAGCTCTACTTTGGCGGGGTTCGGTGGATTATTAATTGCTTCATTTTAGCAGGCAAATCAACCATATCAATTCAAATTATTGTGTGACAGATGGATAATCGGAGAATGCTCGTGCCTCGTTTCACCCGGTGTCAGTGTCGGTGCGCCCTGACCTTGTTGCATCAGTATGCAGAGCACCGACCAGGCGGTGTCTCGGAGGTGCGGGGGTCGCCGGTCGGCGGCGCGCTGCACCAGACACCAGATGAGCCACACCAGCGCCGCCATGGCCGCCGCGCACAGCCACACGGCCGGCGAGAAGGGCCGCGAGTAGGCCCGCCAGTTCACCGCCGCCGCCGACGTCTGCCGGTCTGCGGAGCCAGGGCCATCGTCAGCGCCCGGAACACTCGGATCCAGTGCCGCCAGCCTCCGACAGCCCCGGAACACTCCGGTCCAGTGCCGCCAGCCTCTGACAGCGCCGGGCCCGGAACACTCCGGTCCAGTGCCGCCAGCCTCCGACAGCGCCGGGCCCGGAACACTCCGGTCCAGTGCCGCCAGACTCCGACAGTCCCTGTTAGGTAGTCTCAGGCAGGCCGGAGACCGCGGCAACATCTCAACCCCCCCCCCCCTGCGGTTTTTCGCAGATATCTCAAAAACGGCGGCGCTTTTTGGCACACCTGTTTGTGCATCTTTTCTGCACATGTGAAAATTTCAGACCCAGGTCGCCTTAGGTCAGGTCACCAGGTCACGCCAAGTGACCTCACCTCAGAAAAATAAGAATGCTCGTCATAGCTACACCGATTGATCGATTGCCTTGAAACTTTCAGAGATTGATGAGAGCAACATTATCTATCAAATGTTTATCTCGGAATTTTGAAATCGGTGACCTGAGGTCAGGTCAAATTTGCGGCCTCTCCATTATAAGTCAATGGGAGAAAATTGAAAAGCGTCTGTTTTGCACGAACGCTATTCTAGACACTCTCAAACATCGAGATGTAGGTAAAATTGACACACTGAACCGGAAAATGGCAACCGTGACCCCTCGTTATGCCCCCGATGTCATCTCAGGTCACGAACAGAATCTAACAGTTTTTCGCTAATAACTTCTGATAGAGGCGTGCTAGAGCGCTGAAAACGCCTTAGATGTGTTCGGCTCGACGTTGCGGATCGACTGATATGCAACATGACCATTTCCGGTCAGGTCATGACCTTGACCTGAGGTCAAATTTTCAAGTTGACCTTTCAATGTCAAATTATAGTTCCTTCGACGCGTCTCGACGAGAGGAACACGATGCTGGCAAAAATAATGTCATGGCTTATTTGAGTCAAAAGTTATTGCCGAAAAACGTTTTTCGTAAAAACGGCTATTTTTGGAGTTTTTGCCCTCTGGAGGGTAAACCGTTGACCTGAGGTCAAATCTGAGAACATTACACAGAAATGTCTATAAAAGGGCTATCGAATGCGCTTTTCCGCGGCGCTGTAGCTCTATCGGTTCCCGAGATAGCCGTTGGCAGTTTCCAAAATGTTGGAATAGTCAACATTGTATTCACACATTGTATTCACATTGTTTCGGAACTTTCCCCTTACCTTTGGTGACCTCTGGTGACCTAACCTTTGACCTGACCCAAAAAATGACCGAAGTGTTTTCGTTCTTATTTTGGACGTTCTTTCGATTGCCGCTTACCGCGTGTCGCTACGTGGCCCAGGAGTCGAGTTAGAAGGGGCTGTTCCTGTTCAGACACCCCCCGGCCCGGCGCGGAATCTCCGAGCACCGGCCCGGCGCGGGTTAATGCAGGCATTTGGCTCCCCTGAATTGAATTAATAAGAACTTATAGAAGTCATCGATAGACCCCAGTCATATAATTATTTGCTCGTTGACCAGATCACCCGACTGTAGAGAGGAGAGTTCTCACTGGGGTTGGCCACGACGAAGCTGTACGAGTAGTCCTGCAGGCCGGGCGTGAAGTCCACCATGTCCAGGCTGGCCCGGCGGATACGGAACTGGCCGACGGCCACCTCGGCCTGCCGTCGGCGGACCAGTTTCAGCGGGCCGCACAGGACCGAGTCCGGATCGCGGCACAGGTGCTCATCGCGCGCCAGCACGATCTCCGCCCTGACAGAACGGTGGACGGTGAAAGCAGGGGCCCTGGGGCGGTTCTGCAGGGCTCTTGAAATTCGCTTGCGCGATAAGCACGTGACCACATTTCAGCTTGGCCCATGGGTGGCTTTTAAACTATACCTACCTACGGTCAAATGGAATGATATATAGGCATTAATGGCGCGGCTGCTACAAAGTGAGTGACGCCCATCAAACATATAGCCAATGTAACACACGCACTGACAGGCGAGTGTGCTACCATTCTGTGTATTTTTCATTATCTCTCATTTATTCATTGAATTAGATTTTTATGAATAATTTATGAATACGTACCCAGTGATAATGATTGTTTTTAGACATCGGCATATTAACTGGAAAGCATTAAATGATATCTTATCACTGAATTCTGCATGGTGCCATTTTTGTTATTGAATAAGTAATGAAGCCGAAGACGGGATATAAACCCCACTGGCCCACTATTGATTAACTTAATGCCAACTGACATGTTTCCTTAGTGTTGATATTCACTTAAACTTACTGTTTTTTTTTTCTACATGACGTAGGTAGAATTAGGTAAACGGAGAATTTATATGCGTTGGTGTAATGAACGGGATACTCGCTGAGCTTACTGGCTGCTGCATAAGCGTCAGCTCTCAAAAACAGTTCATTGTTCATCTGTATGGTTTAATCTTCATGTTATCCACAGGGACAGAATACAGGCATTCGTGACATCAATGACTATATTTTTAAGTCATTTCTCACTTCTCATGGTTCGGGGATGATCGATGATCGATGATCATTAAGATGAGGTGCCACTAACTCACCAGCAGTTTCCTTCAATGCAGTGCGAGTGTGTTGAGCGAATGTTTTGTTATGGTTTGACACATCAATGGACTTTCGTAATGACCACTATCATTCTACTCGTATGTGGCATGGCAGCCACTTATTTTATTATTTATTGGGTTGGCGTGCGTCTTCTGAAATTCCTAATAATTTGCATTATTATTCTTCATTTTGCTATTTTTTTCCTGGTGTTCATTAACTGGCTACTTTGGACCACGCTTTCTTCAGGCATGCAAAGTGACACCAATAAGAAATGCAAATGGCACATTATCAGTCTCTGAACTGTTACGACCTTTAATATTTGTTGACATCAAGCCTTCATGCATGTAATGATAGGTCGCATCATGCACGGCGCAGAACTGAAAACGCTGCAAAAGGAGCAGCTCTGTCGGCGGTCCTGGCCAGCGGCGGTTAGAAGACGAAGCGGCATACCCTCCGGCACCACAATTCCCGGAACTTGAAGGTCCAGGTGTCACTTATACACCCGCAGCGTCATCACGGTCGACAGATCGAGCCGGTAGCTTCAAAGAAAGCAAACACTTTTTGTACATCTTTTAAAACAGCCTTGCATGAGTTGCTCTCAGCTCTTGTCATATTACCATACATTGCAAACAAAAAGTCTAAGCCCACTCATGCTAATTTGAACTATGAACCTATTCTGTTATCCCCCTTGCAGTGTCAGGCGTTGCGGACAACGACGGCAGCGAAATTGGACGCTCTGCTGGGCATGAGTGGAGAATAGGTGGCTACCTCTTCCATCGCCCAGCCGGAGGCACGCGATACATCTTTCGACACTAAAATCCTTCCAGAGCGAGCTGCCATCAAATAAGGTCACGGAAGACACCGGAATGTACTTCTGACGACGGGCACCCGAGTGCACCCGAGTGGACTCCTGTGTGGCGGGAAAATATAATTGCCACAACCAACAACTGGCTGGAGGGATTCCGTAGTCAACTGAAGCGTTGGCCGTTGTACACGAATCGGAACGTCACCTTGTAAGGCATTCTTTAACATTACCACTGTGCACTTAATGAGATAAGATGGCTTCGTGTTTACGTGCATAATAGTGTGCTTCACTGTAAAACGCACGTGAAAACCTTGAGTACCCCAGTGCGTCACTTCATTACAGAGCACTCCTCTGAGGACAAAGAAATCCAGGCAGGTCTGCTCGGCCTACGATATGCGACTAGTTGTTAGTTGTTACCGACGAGAAAGTTCGCCAAAGCGTCCTCAACGGGCTGCTTGCCCTGGAAAAGGACGTTATGGCGACAGCCGCAGCATTACAGCAGCCGCCAACAGACAAGCGGAGGCCAGGGGCCGAACGCACTAGGCGAAAACGCGACCACCTGGACACCATGGACAGCATGCCTTTCTGCCGTATCATGAAAAGAAGGAAAACGAAGGAAGTGATTACAACCGGCACATGCTGGGAGCAAGACTTCAAGGCCCAGCGACTAGCATTATTCAGCGAGTGATGGGCGCAGGTTCCGTAACCAGAGCGGATCGGTACCTGAGCGATGAGCATAGCTTATGTGCAAGACCGGTAACCTGCGAAGGTCAGGCAGGAGAGGGCACTCGTCCAATGAAACTACCGAGGCCCGACATGAAAATAATATGTTAGCAAAACGGGCAGCGGTGACGGGCGTGGAAGAAGTCACAGGAATGCATAATTATACGCTAAACATAGCTTTTTTCGAAAGCCATATTGTTTGTGAATCAGTGGGGGGGGGGGGGTGTTTGTGTGACACAATGTATGTAGTGTGCATGATTGCTCGCGCAATGTGCATGTATACGCAATGCGCATTGCGTAATGTGTATGCATCGATACATGCGTATTTTTAGTGCTCTTAAAGTGTAACGGAAATATTTGTGATCATATTTGCTTCCTTCTGGCTTTCTTGGTGTTCATCGCTACAGATACTCATTTTGACTTACATACATACGTTAAAGACCATCAGAGTAGACGGCCAATACTCTATTATCGGAACATGTAGCGTCTGTTTACCGAGAAAGAAAGAAGCGAACCTAGACCAAGACATAGTATGATAAAGACAGAGATAAACGAAGGCAAATCAGGAGACAACGCTACTCAGTTCCTAACCAGCGAGAGAACCAAGGACGGTGATTCCCTGACTAGTTGAGCCGGCCGCGGACCGCACCCGCCCGGCCCTGCGCTCCAGACAGCTCTGCCCGCTGCCACGCGGCGCACCCCGTCCGCCTGGCCGCGCCTGGTCACGTGACTGGTTGGCGGCCTCAGGCGGTGACCAGTCACAGGTCGGCCGCCAGTGACATGGCACAATAACACTACATACATACAGCCAAATGGCGTAGCGGGGCACCCCTCTCCTTTTACTGGGGCACCGCCCCTCTGCTGGGGTTACCCTTCCGCTGTCAGGGGCGCCCCTTTTGTGTAGATTATACTCATTTTCTTCTTGTAATGGGGCGCCCCTCTTCTACTGGAGGCGCCCAACGACTGCTGTCTGCTGGGCCTGGGGCGCCCATCTACTGCTGGGGCGTCTCTCTTCTGCCGGATATTGTCAATGGGGCGCCCCTATCCTGCTTGGCGAGCCCAACCTCTGCTGCGAGCTCCTTATTTCTGATTAACTTTTGCTGTGATGCCTCTCTTCTGCTGGGGCGCCCCTCTTCTGCTGGGAGCGTTCCTCTGCTGGAGTCCCCTCTCTTCTGCTGGGGCGCCCCTCGACTTTGCTGGGGGCGCCCCTTTCCTGCTGGAGGCCCCTTTCTTCTGCTGGACCCCTTCTGCTGCCGGGGGCGCCCCTCTTCTGCCAGTGGCACCCATTTTCTTCTTATATAGCTCCTCTTTTTTTGCTGGGGCGCCCAACTGCTGTCAGGGCGCCCCCTCTTCTTCTCGGAATGGGGCGCCTCTCTCCTCATCAGTCATGTGCGGCCCGCCCTTAGTTGGCAGCAGCATGGTTTTTTGCCGGGACGTTCGTGTGTCACAAATTTAGGTTCAATGTTGCACAAAGTATGGGACAACATATCCGCTGGCTCTCAAACTGACGTCATATACACCGATTTTAGTTCCGCCTTCCAGAGCGTGAACCACCAGCTTCTGATTTTCAAACTTGAAAAATCGTACCATGTGAATGGAAAGACTTTGGCTTGGCTCAAATCGTATTTGTCTGAGAGAAGCCAGCGGGTTGTTGTAAACGGTCAATGCTCGGCGTGGGCTCCAGTACCGTCAGGGACGCCAGAAGGCGGACTTCTATCTCCTCTCTTGTTCGCATGCTATGTAAATGACCTGCCGGATGTGGTATCCTCAAATTGCCTTTTGTTTGCCGATGATTTTAACCCTATTCCTGGCGGGGGGGGGGGGGGCCTCAGGAGCCCCCCCCCTGAGGTTTTTTGGGTATATCTCCCAAACGCGTTGAGCTAGGAAGCTCAAATTTTCTGACTTTTCCTAAAAGGCTTCTACGCAACATGTCTGAAAATTTTGAGTTGATCTGACCTCAGGTCAGGTCACCAGAGGCGGTTTGGTGACGCTACCTCAGAAAAGTTTGCAATCACGCCAGAGCTAGAGTTTTTGACCGATCAATTTCTTCTCTTCAGGGTTTAGTGAGGGTACCAGTATGTGCAATTTGTATATCTCGGAATTTTGATATCGATGACCTAAGGTCAGGTCAATTTCGCGACCTCCCCATTATAAGTCAATGGGGGAAAAATCAACTCCCTGTTTTTACCACTAAAACGGGTCGGAATGGCCCCATATACCATACATGACTTCATATACGATCAACCTTCACTACCTTGAGGTCTGTTTTGCTGTTGGGCAGCTGTGAGGTCATGTGACGTCATCAAAGGTCACAAAAGGTTTTTGGCCAATAACTCCGTACAGGAACAAGATACAGACGCGTGGATGGTCTCATTGTGTTCAGCTCGTCAAGACGCATCGAATGATATACATGATGACCTCGAGGTCACGTGACCTGAGGTCAACCTTTGACCTTGACCTTTCGAGGTCAACATATATATCATTTGATGCGGATTGACGAGAGGATCACGATGATGCCCTTAGTTTGTTCCTATCTTGACTAATTCGAAAGTTATTCGAGAAAAACTCTCTCCATATCTAGTGCCGCCATTTTGACTTTTTCGACCCCTGTGACGTCATCTTTGACCTGACCTGAAAATGACCTTAGTAAAAATTGTAGATC